GAGAGGAGGGAGGGAGGAGGGAGGGAGGGAGGAATAATGAAAGACAAAGAGAAGGAATGGGGGGACTGTAAAGATAATTTTATCTTCTTAAGTTAAGGTGACAACAAATAAGGATGAAAATGCAAAACTCTTTGCAGACTCATGGATTTATGTGAACTTCTCACTTAGCCTGGAACAACATCTTTCAAGACAGCAAAAGCTTAATTATTCATGTGGCTCAAAATTGTGGCCTTCCTACCTTGCTCAGTAACTTGGCTATTAACTCCATCACCCTGTTGGTCTCCCCACTGGTCTACAGGACGTTTAAGGAAGACTCTCTCACCTTGGCGATCTTTGTATCTCCAGAACTTAGTGTGATGCTGGGAAATAGTGGGGTCCCAACAGGAGCAAGAAAGTGAATGTGTTTTGGGGAGCTCTATTAATTCTCAATTTTCTTAACTATTTGTATGGCTGGGTAGCACAAGTGCCTGCCTGGCAAGTGGGAGGTCCTGAGTTCCATTCCAAGTACAAAAAGAAAAAAACCTGCCTTGCAAGAATAACTATTCTTTTCAGCAACCAATCATAATATAATTGCTAAATGATTTAAGATGCTCTCAGTGGGTCTCGCGAGATAGCTCAACAGACTAAGCACCTGTTCAGGCAAGTGCAGGGACCTGGGTTTGATCCCAGGTACCACATGTCATGCCAGGCCCACCTCAGGGCTGGTTGAGCCAGCCACTGAGTCCAGCCTCATGGCACACGTCTGCAATCCCGGCACTGGGGAGGCTGAAAACAGGAGGCTCACTACATGTCCAAGCTGTGTAGTGAGACCTTGTATCAAATATATTAAGAAAAAAAGATACCTCAGCAAAATAATAGTAATAATAATAACAACAACAAACATTTAAATATCATATTAAGCTATTACCTCCTTAAGTTTAATTGCAGATAGTATTTTTGCTATAACAACATCCTGAGGCTGGTTCCAGATGGATGCGCTTCCATTGTTGGTGATATAGGCTTTGCATGCAGATATCATCTGATTTGTAACCTGAAATTTTCCAATAAAATGGTGTGAATTACATAAAACAGCCATAGGTTATAAATAAGTGTAGAAGGTCCTCAACTCCTCTACCTCTCAGAATTGCCTACCTGTGAACCTGAGCTTTGGATTTTATTTTCTCGGCAAAATTGAGTCAATCGCTGGCCCTTTAATAGTAGCAAAATCATCTGGAAAATCAACAATTGGACCTTCTTCTGTATTCAGAATACAGGTCTTCATCAACCGAAGGATTTATTTTGCTGCCTAGCAACTAAAGAGGAGTTTCCTACCTCCACAGGTCCCTGCTCTGATACCGAAGTCACAGGTTACAAACAGCAGGTAAAGCGCAGCTGACCTTGGTATCCCATGCTACCAGGACTTGCACCAAAAATGTCAAAAGAAGATCCCAGAGAGGCAAAGAAAGCTCATTTATAAAACCACTAACATCTTATTCACCCCTACAAACACCAAAAAACAACCTTCAAAACTGTCTTGACTTTTAAAAAAATATTATAAAGGCAAAATTAAATATCTGTATTGTATATCTAGGGCAATCCAGTGCCAAGGATCACAAGGAAGAAGAGAAGGAAAGGAGCGCTGGCCCATCCCTGAATCCAGATGCACACACAGGCGGGCTTAGGACACAGTTTCTTTCCCTGTGGTGACTCATTCTAAACTCCTATGACAAAGGTTTTCTATAATTGTTATGTTTTGTTTGTAGGTGTCCCCCAAAACCTCATGCAGTCGTGGTACAGACTTCTAAAGGCCCGCTATTCCCTCCTCATGCTTATCTGCAGAGAGCACTTTTGATGATCCAACTCCTGATCCAGTGCTGGGTTTGTGGGTGGGCCAGTTGCACCCCCCCTAGGGCAGAGGGCCTGGACGCAGTGGAAGGAAGGGAAAGAGGCTTGCTCTCCCTGCTCCTCTGCCATTGTTGCGGCCACTCCCTTTTAGCTCTTCCTGTTTTGCTGTTTTCTGCTACCCTCTGTCATGTGCCACTCTGCCTTGGAGCCACTGAGTATGGACTGAAACCTCCACTAACTGTGAGCTAAATAAATCTTTCTTTCCTTAATTTTGGGTTCTGC